CCGCGGCAGCCAATCCGCCGCCTGCAGGCGCCCACGGCTCGCACAGGTTCCGGGTCGGAAAGTGAAGAACGACCCGGTACCAAGGGGACTGCCTCGCCGCGCCGACCGCAGCCCTGCGGCCCTGGCACACACCCGGGAGCACCGCGGCCCCTCAGCTCGGTGCTGACGCCGGGCCCTGCGCCGGTTCCATCTGCGCCCCGGGTCTTCTCGGCCGGTGGCGCGGGGGTGCAACTCGGAGCGCGGTTGCTTAGCGCCCGCACAGCGATCCCCGGCACCCCCAAGGCGCGGCAGTCCCGCCCATGCCCACCAGACACCACTTGCCTGCCCCAAGATTGGCTGCAACTCCGGCCCTCCCTCGCTGCCCTCAGTCGCGCCCCATCTCTCTCGCCACGTCCCCAACCCGTTTTGTGGCGCATCCCGGGCGCGGAAAAGACTCCCCTCGGGCTACAAACTCCCAAGTGTCCCTCCCCACTCAGTGGCCCAGGAAGCCTCGCCGTCCCTGCCCATACGTTTACCATGAGCGTTTCCATCCTGTCCCCGACATCTTGGGGTTGCAGCAGCGTCGGGTGTGACTTCTGGATCATTGGAGAGGAGACCTGCGAGGACCTGGCTGGGGGCCGTTGGTGGGAGCAAGGCTCGGACCCGGCAACCTCGGAGGAGACGACGGGGCGCCAACCGACGGCCACGCGTCCTAAGTCAGGAGGTCTCGGCCGCCGGGGCCGTCCCGGGTGGGCACCTGCACGCCCTGCACGCCTCGGGGCAGCGCGCCCACCGCCCGCGCGTGGTTCCGGGACGCCGTAAGGTCCCGCAACTGAGGACGACTCGCCGCTCTTCACTCGCTCCGCAGACACCGCGGCTCATTTGTCTGGCCCATTCTGTCCAGCGGCAGCCTCAGGACCTGAGATTTGGCCGGCGAACTCGTGGGTGGAGAAAGGAGGAACTAGGTGGACCTTGGGATTTAGCTTCCGGGTTGGCGGCGAGTCACGCGCCGGTGAGCGTGTGCTCTGTAGCGCCACCTCGTGCCCGCGCCCTGAACTGCGGGAGCCCCTGTTGCCCTGAGCCCGGAATGCCGGGCCGATTTGCCCAGGTCTCCTTGCTAGTTATTCACAGTCCAGGCTTGCCCTGCCCAGTAGGGGTAGCCAGTGGCCTCGGTGCCTTTCCCGCACTTGACATGTGGCTAGTGTGACTGAAGAGCTGAAATGTTCCTTTTGTTTTAGTTAATTTATATTAATAATAGAAGCAGTGTGGAATATTTTTCCAATAAACACAGCTCTTGACAAACTCTTGTTTTCCTTTAAAATCAAAGACAGGAATTGACACGTGCTGTAAATTAACTGCACACTGGATTTCGAAGACTGGTTGTGATAAAATATCTCTTTAATAATTTTTATATTATCAGATGTTGAAACCATCTTTTGGATAGAATGGATTAGGTGAAATATACGAAGTGATGTTCCCTGTTTACTTTTATAAGATGATTACTAGAACATCTGAAGTTATGTATATGGTTGGTTCCATTTCTCTTGACAGCACCGGTCTAGGATGGTTACGATTATGGTTAGTTTGGCCTCGTACCTGTGTTACAGGGCAGGGAGAGGGGCACCACTGAACCCCCAAACCTGCCTGCTCTAAATAGTTTCTGCCATCTGCCACACCAAGACAAAACATATAAGACTTTAATAAAAAGAAACTTTAATACAGTGAGCATACGATACAGAAGACAAAGAATATAATTTCTAAAACACCTGAAGTTACCTATCCCCTCGTGGGCAAAAGTCAACCCAAACAGGACTGACACAAAACAAGGCCTAAACTCCCGCCACAAGACTAAAGCACCTTCTGGCTGGGATCCAAATAAAAGGATCAGAAACAGCCAGACAAGTCTGGGAGGAGAAGAGCAAAATCAAAATCAGTATAAACACTGCCATAGTCAACCTACCCACGGGTCTCTCACCCACATCTCTTTCAACCAGTCCAGGGCCAAGAACTAAACACGATTTCTTTGCATGGCTCCCTTTGCTCCATGGGGCTTCCTCAGGTCTCCTTCTGGCTCTCCATCCTGCTTTCTTCCTCCTCAGATTCTTTCTCTTCTCGTGTTTTCTCTGCTCAGCTCCACCCTCCTTCTGGGTGGGGCAGGGAACCTGGAACTTCCCCTTTTCCTGGGGACCACCCTGTTATACCTGGGCTCTGTCAAGTGCCTTCTTTTAGGTTTCCAGTTCATTATTCCTGTCTGATTCCAGGGAAAATAATAACATCGCCTGCATTTCTTCTTTTTTCTTTTTTAATGTCTCATTTTCTTTCTTCAGTTTGTTGATTGCTTCTTTTTCTCTTTCATTCATTTCCTTTTTTGCATTCAACTCCTTGATGAATTGCCTCATATCCTTCTCATTTTCTCTTTGTTTGTTTAGCATAATGATTCTGAACTCTCTTTCTGTTAGGCTGAGCAGTTCTTCTGTTTCTTTAGTGCTTTCTGGTGACTGATCTTTTTGTGAATTTTTCCCCTGTGGACTTGCTTGGGTATTTGTTTGTCTTCTTTTCCCTTTTTTTGTGTTTTCTAATACTTTCTATTCGCTGAGACACGGTGTTGCTATTATTGACCGGCATTTTTTTGGGATGTTCTTTCTGGGATGGCCGAGGGACTTCCATACACTTCAGTTGTGGAGGGTATTCTGAATTGTGCTATTTTCCCAATCCCCACTGTGTGTAATTGTGTCTGTTGTCTCAGCCGGTAACAATCAGGGGTCTCTTGTGCTGTTCAGCCTCTTCCAGTAACACACTGGGTCCTTGTTTCTGGAAGGTACCCATTGATCTTTGTAGCCTTCGGATGTCCCAGCTTCCCTCTATGTTTGGGTGTGTGTATGATGTATTAGAAGTGTTTGTAGGTCTCCCTGGAGCTGGGCCTGTGGTTGAGTTGGTGGCTGCCTTTGTTTACTGAAGGAGGAAAGAATGCAGGAGAGGTATCACAAGACTGAGTTACACAAAGGGATGGGGGAAAGGGGCAAATACAGCAGTTGACACAGCCATAAAATCAGGGCACCAAAGCGAGGATGTTTGGGCCCAGGTAAAGACAAGGACATGGAGATGGAGATGAAGCTCACTAGGGAATCTCCGTCCTCTCAACAAACCTGGGCTCATAAGGAGTGAGCCCCTCCCAAAGAGAAGATGTCTATATCTGGACAGTCTATCCACCAGCACGGGGCAGCCGCCCCACTGCCCACCTGGGTCTAAGCAGGTGCTTTTTTCCACCCATTCTCCCTCTGCAGGGCCGCAGCCTCCTGCCTGCCCGTGACCTGTATCATGCCGGTACCCCTCTGCACTGACCACCCTCATGGGAGGCCTCTTCCTAAGACTGCCTGCCTGCAACCATGCAGGTCTCTTTCCCTGCAAGCCTGTCCCTTTCCGGGCAGCTCTTCCTGCCCACTTGCACCTAACCAAGTGTCTTCCCCTCTCCTGTCTCTTTCTAATAAACTTCCTCTTTAAAAATAACTGAGTCTCTTGGGGAATGGGATCAAAAATGGGGGGGAGGGAAAGGGAGGGAAATGCACGGGACTATGGTGGTGGCACACGGGTGATTTGGTGATGGGAAACCCGCGGGGATTACACTCGAGATGGAAAAAAAATGTGCAAAATGATGTAAAAATAAACTTTTGTAATAATTTAAATAAATAAATAAATAAATAAATAAATAAATAAATAAATAAATAACTGAGTCTCTGTCTCATGAAGAATCTCGCTGTGTGCTGCTGAAAGGGAGCTCTGGTGAAACCTTTCCCAGAGTGAATCCAAGAACCCCAAACTCAAGACGACATCATTTACTTTCTAAGTACTGTGACCCTTTCTGGCTCACAAGTCTTCAGGCCTCTGCTGTGGGTGGCGGGATTCCCCCCCCACCCACACACACACACCACATGAGTGCGGGGAAGTGCCAGCAATCCTCCCAGCTGAGCAGGCTGCCAATCCTCCCTCTGAGCTTCCAGGGCTCTGTGTCTACTCCAAACAGTCCCTCCCTGAGCAGTGCCTTCCCACTGCCTGAGGTCCTCTCACAGAGCCCAGCCCTATCTCTTTAACTCCAGGGTTTTTACCTCAGTTTTTGTGGGTAGATGTGGTAAGCAGTTAGACCCCTTAGCAAGTCTCCCCATTTGAGGCCCTTCCTAGGGCCTCTCTATGACGAATGTGCCCATGGAAGATTGTTAAAGTTGTTGCATTTTCCTAGGGTTGGTCCTGTGGTTGAGTCCAGACTAACCGGTTGTTGTTTTTTTTTCCCCCCTCTTTTACCTTCGGGGCTTTGTGAGTCTTGCTGACCACGCTGTAAAAATGGCGCCAAGACCTGACCATGCCCGTGCTCTGTAGCGCCACCTCGTGCCCGCGCCCTGAACTGCGGGAGCCCCTGTTGCCCTGAGCCCGGAATGCCGGGCCGATTTGCCCAGGTCTCCT